TGTATAATCACATTTTTATTAAGTAAGTTGTTGTTTTCCCCCCCGCCTCAAAATCATGACTAATCATAGATCCAACTGTTACCTGTAGCAAAATTCATCCATCTATATTACTTTACCTTTTCACTCCATCTACATGTGTAGTGTGTAGTTGTTTATGATGTCACTCAGTATTATGATGTCACTCACACAGAACTACATAGCTCAAAGTTATAATGAATCCTTTCTAATGTATTAAGTATGGATTCACACAGTTACCTATTCTGTCTGTCTAAATGCTTATATGCATACTAAATGATCTGAATGTTAATTCACAAAGAATGGCGTTCCTGTTGGCATTATAAGAAAGGGTCCTGCTGCTGTAAAAAAGTGCTGCTGTAAAGATCAAAATGTACAAGAAGGGACACATGAATGTTGGACGTCAAGGCTACTGCATTAGCTATGATAAATAACTTTAAAGTACAGGGTTACACTGATTATAATTTATATATACTAGTGAGTGTGCCTGTATCATGTAAGGACATTGTGCGTTGACAAATGGGCAACCCAAAAAGTATTCTTTATTTTTTACTTTGTCTTTCAAATAAATTGTTGTAGCACTGCTTGTGCACCCTGTAGTGCTTGTCTAATTATTTTCTTACAAGAAGTGAATAGTATTGGTTAAGAAATTGGTTTATACACACATATTGAGACCATACAGTGTCAAGCTCCCCACTACATCAGAATACCCCAATATTAGTAAGTCTTTCTGTAACTTTAATGTAATGAACACTTCTTTAAAAGACTCTCCATGAATTTATACTGTAAAATGCATTTAGCAACCGAGGAACCTGTGAGTGGAGGGATGGGTGCTCAGCCGAAAGGGTTCTAGACGGAATCAAAGTGTAAGAATCCTCTTTTAATAACTAGGAGTTTCTACAATAGATTATCTTTAAAATAACCTGGCAGCTGATAATTCTGGGTATAATAAATAGCAATTTCCTGTCTTTTAGAAGAAAGACGTAAGACAGACGTAATACACATCCACTAATTACAACTTATAATAGCTATTAAAATCATTGAATCATATCCCTTCCACTTAGTATGCTGTGCAAATTTAACATTTGGCATGTGAGAACAGCTTATTGAGAACTCAATAAACACTAATTGGAGTGAGTTTAAAATTGAATATCAATTCTGGTTTTATTTCACAAGATTTCAGAATTTAGTTACCAAACTCTATTAATGTTGGTTCAGTCTGTGAAGTCTGGTATGGTATAGTTGTTGGGAACCAACAGTTACAAGTCATTATAGTAACTATTGAATTGGTTCTAGTTCCTTGAGTTCCCTGGCACTGTCCCCTCCATTCAGTGTTCAACCATTTTT